TTGAGGGCAGGCGGGCTCTGGCCATTGGACGGAAGCCCACTGGAACTCCCGCAGATGAGGAGTTGGTGGTGATGGAAGCGGGGTGGGCAGGAAGAGGTGGTGGTTGGACTTCGTCCTGCTCAGCTCCAGGTGAGCCCTGTGCACTGGACTGCCAGGCCCAGTCTCCCCATTGCATCCCCACCCCCAGTGGGAGTGGGGAAGGGGAGAAGGAAAGGGAAGATGCCCCCCTCCCGTGCCTAAGGCGCTGGGGTGAGGCGCGCAGGGCGTGAGGGCCGCGCCTCACGCAGTCCCTTCTCCAGCTCGCGCGCCCGCACCCACGGGCAGGGGCGCGCAGGGGGAGGGGCGGACTCAGGGCCACGCCGGGAGGGCCGGGAGGGCCGGCGGGCGGGGAGCAAAGCAGCGGGGTCACCGCCCCTCTGGGCGCGGGGCTGTCAGGTTTCCTGTTTGGAGAGGAAACCCTGCAAAATCCAACGAGGCAAAAAAAAAAAAAAAAAAAAAAAAAAAAAAAAAAGAAAAAGAAAAGGGAAAAAAAAAAAGGTGGGGAGGAGGGGAAGCGCAGGCCTGTCTGGGCCTTAGCGGCGGCCGGGCCGCCGGTGCCCCGAGCCGGGCCTGATCTGCAGGCCCGTGTCCGGGCCGTGCCCGCCGCGGGCGCTCGGGGAGGAGAGCCGGGCCTGCAGGCTGTGCGCGCCCATTAATCTGCGGGGCGGGCGGGCGGCGGGCGGGCTGGGGGCTGTTTGTAACTTTGCTGCCTCGGTCGCCGCGGTCCCCGGGGAGCGGGCTCCGGCGCTCGCTCCCATTGGCCGCCGCCGCGTCAGCTGGTGCGATTTGCTGCTGTCGCTTTTGGCGTTCGGCCATCCAGAAACAAACCAGTTCGATGACTACTAATAGTTATAGCCAGATGTACTAATACACAACAAATCACAGTCCTGCAGAGGGGCGCGCAAATGAGTTCCTATTTTGTGAATCCCACTTTCCCCGGGAGCCTGCCCAGCGGCCAGGACTCCTTCCTGGGCCAGCTGCCCCTCTACCCGGCCGGCTATGACGCGCTGAGGCCCTTCCCGGCCTCGTACGGGGCGTCGAGCCTCCCGGACAAGACGTACACCTCACCTTGTTTCTACCAACAGTCCAACTCGGTCCTGGCCTGCAACCGGGCGTCCTACGAGTACGGGGCCTCGTGTTTCTATTCTGATAAGGACCTCAGTGGCGCCTCGCCCTCGGGCAGTGGCAAGCAGAGGGGCCCCGGGGACTACCTGCACTTTTCTCCCGAGCATCAGCAGTACAAACCCGACAGCAGCAGCGTGCCGGGCAAAGCCCTTCATGATGAAGGCTCCGACCGGAAGTACACGAGCCCGGTGTACCCCTGGATGCAGCGGATGAACTCCTGTGCGGGTAAGGCATCCCCCGGCAGCCCCCCCAGGAGAGTGGAGGGAGAAAGGGGTGGAGGCAGGGCAAAAAGGAAGGAGGAGAAAGAAGAGAGGGCAGAAAGAGGCTCTGGAGAGTAAAAGAGAGGAGGAAAGAATGCAAAGTTTCTTTGCCTTAAAAAAATATCAAGCCACCATCACAAAGTCAACCCATTCCCAATGGGGCAATCAGGCTGCGGCAGAGAGAAGGCAGGTCCTTATGTCTCGTAAGGTGACACCTTAGGAGAGGTGGGGGTCAGGGCAGGTTCGGGGAGACCTGTGTGATAGGGACAACCTGAGTCTGGAGGGAAGCTGGGCTGGTGGGCCTGCCCCTAGGTAGCAGGGTGCTCAGTGCCCACGAGAGGGCCTCTGCCCAGCTTTAAGCTCCCTCCCCACCCACCCCCCTCTCTTGCCTTTCACCACCTCGGGTAGCCAGAGGCCCTCATCTGGCCTCTCTCAGGGTCTCCCCGAAGCCACAGACGGCTACATCCCCAGCCTCAGGATTTTTCCTCTCCCTCCTCCCTCCTCTCCTCCCCCTTCCACTCCTCTGCTCACTCACAGCCAACTTCTGCATTCTTCTGAGGCCTTCCTAATCACACACCCCCAACTCCAGCACAGCCCCCACCCATGGGCCCCTTTGGCAGCAGAGCAGATGCCCCACACAGTCCTACATTTTCCAGAATCCCAGATGGCCCCTGGATCCATCACTCTGCCCCCTGGCTCCCCAAAACTCCACAGGGAATCCTTAGACCAGGACAGAGCCGCATGCAGACTTTGGAACAACATCGAGTGTTTTTGCTTAAACCCTCCTTTTTTTTTTTTTCCAAGGAAGGTCTACAGTGTTTTCAGGAAGTCCATACATCTAATGGAGCAGTTGTAAAAATTAGAGCAGGCTGACCCTGGAAAATTTTCTCAAAAGCATGCAGGAGCTCAGACATGGCTGGCCCAAGCCCTTCTTCAGAGAGACCCGTGTGTGAATTCAGAGTGTGCCCTACCGAGCCACATGCCCACCCACCCTCAGACAAACAGCACCCCCACAAACACAAGACTTGGGTCTCCTGAATTGAGACGGACCCCTCGGGTCTTGGGCTTTTCTTACCGAACAGATTTTTCAAAAACAAAAACTTGCCATCCAAGTCATTTTAGAGGCAAACGTCTCGCTTGGCAGGAAAGCAGCTTTCCAGCTCGAGTTGGGCCCCAGATTTAGGTGGGAGAGGCGGGTAGTTTCCAGTGCAGAGGCCAGGGCGTGGGGCTGGGGGGCTGGGGGTGTGGGCCGCGGGGAGCCTGGCTTACCCGGCGCCCACATTTTCTGCCCTCAGGTGCGGTGTACGGGAGTCACGGGCGCAGAGGCCGCCAGACCTACACGCGCTACCAGACGCTGGAGCTGGAGAAGGAGTTCCACTTCAACCGCTACCTGACGCGGCGGCGCCGCATCGAGATCGCCAATGCGCTCTGCCTCACGGAGCGCCAGATCAAGATCTGGTTCCAGAACCGCCGCATGAAGTGGAAAAAGGAAAATAAACTCATCAATTCCACTCAACCCAGCGGGGAGGACGCGGAGGCAAAGGCGGGCGAGTAAACGCCGTGGGCAGCCACCAGGCCAGCGCCGCAGCTACCTCCCTCGGCTTTGCCCCCTTGCCTTCTCCTGCTCCCCAACTTTTCTCCTCGTCGGCTCCCACCATCTGGGGGCTTCCGCAGTTTCAGGGGAGCCTGGAGCTTTGCCAACGTTTGAGCATTTATTTCTTACAAAAACCAAACCAAACCAAACAAAAAAACCCACACCCAACCAGTCCCAGCGATGGAGCAGGGCTCACGGCGCGCACAGTCATCCTCTCCAAGGCTGCCCAATTCGTCCCAGGTTCTCATGCTCAGCGCCTCTGCTCGCCCCTGAGCTGGCGACTTCGGGGTTACTGGAGAGGAAAGAACCCCAGGCCGAGCTTCTTTTGGTGTTTGGGTATTTCAGCCTCGAACCCTCACCACCACGCCCCCAGAGGACACCACCAAATCCACCCTCTTTCTTGGAGAGAGGAGGCCTACAGGCTGGCCCCCCAACCCTGCTCTGGTCTCCCAAGGCACCCCGACTCAGGAAGAAACTCAAGGAACAAAGGGGTTCCCCAGGAGAGTCTGGGTTTTCCTCTGACGGGCAACGGCTTGTGGAAGTGCAGCTCGGCACAGCACAGCCAACCTGGGCACGGGTGGACCTTTCCAGCCCTGGTTGCTTCTGGGCTACCGAAGGCTCCAGGCTTTGGATGGCCGTTCCACCCCCGATATTTACGGCTCGGCTCTACCATCGCTGTCGCTTTCAGAACCCAAGGAGGAGGCCCAGGGACATGGGAGCTGCAAGAATCTGGGCTTCCCAACGTGGCAGGGGCGCCTACCATGCCTGGCCTGCAGCGGGGAAGCACCCCCCTGGCCTTTCGGCTCCATTTGTGATTTACTTTCGTCTTGCACAACCCCGGGAAATAACTACGGAGATGTACTAAGCGCTGTCCTGAAATGCTTTCTTTAACGCCCTCATTCTACTCCTGGTGGTTTAAACAGGACCCAGGGTAACTCGGCCCACGGATCGTTGGTCCTTCTGCAGCTTCTGGGGCTTTGGGGAGCCTGTGCCCACTGGCTGGGTTCGCCGAGAACCCTCCGACTTGGGGCCGGGCGGGCTGCAAGAACGCGACCGGGTGGTGAAGAATCTCTGGCTGGATACTTAAAGCAAATCAAATAGCCAACTAATGACACGAAAACCATATTTACAGGAGAGAAAAATCGACTCCGGTTATAAACGTGTATGGAATTTGACCTCGCCTCTGAGAAACACTACACAAAAGCTATCTTTAATAGACGCCTGTCATTTAAGAGCGGCAGGGACACTGTCCCTCATGCGCTCGCAAAAACAGAGCCGTAATTGTAGCTGCTGCTGCGGGCAGGATTTATTTCTCCAATTGGCTAAATGGCCTCCCCACTTCCCCGAAGGTGATATCTGTATTTTCAAATTTCAGAGCTGCCGGCAGGACGGGCAAAACCGACCCCAATCTCGACACAAAAAAATAAGAGGGGCTGCACAGCAGGGGAAATAAAGTTGTTGTAAATAAAATCCAAGTCACCATCTCCCCCTAATCCTCTGCATCCTCGCCGGGCGCGCGATCGGCAGCTGACGGCCTCACAATTGGTACATCCTAATGGAACTGCGAGGGAAATGCAATAATTTTGCCATAATGGGCTGTAACCTCAATTCGACCCCGGCCCTTGCAGCCCCGGGTCGGAAGCGGAGCGATGCGCTCTGCGTCCAGCGGGTGGCGCTCGAGTCCGACTGAACGGCGGCGGCGGGCGGCGGGCACGCGCCTGGGGCGCGCGCGCCACCCCTCTCGCCTCCACCCAACTCCCCCATTAGTGCACGAGTTTACCTCTAGAGGTCATCAGGCAGGATTTACGACTGGACAACAAAAGCACGTGATTCGAAGTCGTACCCCATATTTGGGTGCCTACGTAGGAGGGAACCAAGTACATGTCCCAGTCATTTCCATAATTCATCATAAATTGTGCAAGGGTGCTATAGACGCACAAACGACCGCGAGCCACAAATCAAGCACACATATCAAAAAACAAATGAGCTCTTATTTTGTAAACTCATTTTGCGGTCGCTATCCAAATGGCCCGGACTACCAGTTGCATAATTATGGAGATCATAGTTCCGTGAGCGAGCAATTCAGGGACTCGGCGAGCATGCACTCCGGCAGGTACGGCTACGGCTACAATGGCATGGATCTCAGCGTCGGCCGCTCGGGTTCCGGCCACTTTGGCTCCGGGGAGCGCGCCCGCAGCTACGCGGCCGGCGCCAGCACGGCGCCCGCCGAGCCCAGGTACAGCCAGCCGGCCACGTCCACGCACTCGCCTCCGCCCGATCCGCTGCCCTGCTCCGCCGTGGCCCCCTCGCCCGGCAGCGACAGCCACCACGGCGGGAAAAACTCCCTGGGCAACTCCAGCGGCGCCTCGGCCAACGCCGGCAGCACCCACATCAGCAGCAGAGAGGGGGTTGGCACGGCGTCGGGAGCCGAGGAGGACGCCCCCGCCAGCAGCGAGCCGGCGAGCGCGCAGAGCGAGCCGAGCCCGGCGCCGCCCGCCCAGCCCCAGATCTACCCCTGGATGCGCAAGCTGCACATAAGTCATGGTAAAGCCAGCCTTTTTCTAAATCCACGCGGCCGCGGGGGCGCGGCTCTCGGTCCCCTCTCCCCCTGTCTCTCCTCTGCTCTCGCCTCTCCCAGCCCCGTGCAACCTCTCCCCGCCGCTCTCCTCCCCTGCCTCCTTCTTCCTCCTCGGTCTCTGCAGCGCCCAGCGCTCGCAAAGCCAGGCGGAAGGCGTCAGCCGGCCACGCAAGTTTAGACGTTCCAAGGAGTGGGGGAAGAAGAGATCCCATCTCGAACCCCAGCGCCTTGGAAGTTCCCGGGTCAGGCCGGCCGAGCAGGGCGCAGAGAGGTAGAGGATGGCAGTAGGGGCCGTGAATTGGGCTTGTCAAGGCGGATAATTTATGAGGAGCGCTGCACTGGGGAAACGGCGTTACTAATTAGAGCCCCCGAAAACTAAAGGGGACTGGGGGAAATAATCCCGGCGAGAGCGGGCGAGATTCTGAAGTTTGGGGGCGTGAGGGTGAGCAGGGGAAGGGCAGGGAAGGGAAAAGAAAGCGGGAACCCCGGGCGTGCATGCAGAAACAGGAGGCGGCTTCTCGGGGCTGGAACTTTAAAGGGAGGAGGACGTGGAGGCCACTCGGCGCCCAGAAAAAGGGGGCTCGCTTTGCTGGGACTCTGAGCAGCAGGCGGCCTGCGAAGGCTGTGCCCCTGCCTCGGGGCGCATGGGGCAGGACCCGAGGCGAGGAGGGGGGTGAGTGAGAGCCAGTCAGCCAGGGGATCCTCCGGGACGGGGGACACGCGGCTCCAGCCGCAGCTGGGCCGATTGTTCCCAGAGTCCAAATCGTATTGTTTTCAGCCTAGAAAGGAAGAGGGAAGGAAATTCGGGAGGGGTGGGCAGGCGAAGTAGGGAGGACTTGTTGAGCTTCCCGCCCCCCCCCCCCTCCGTCCCCTGGGCTCCTGGCTTGGGACGCTGGCCCTTGTCGCTGGCCAGCTTTGGGAACCAGGGGCTGCGGAGTTGGTGGCTAAATCGCTGGGTTTTTCTGTTGCAGACAACATAGGCGGCCCGGAAGGCAAACGGGCCCGGACGGCCTACACCCGCTACCAGACGCTGGAGCTGGAGAAGGAGTTCCACTTCAACCGCTACCTGACTCGCCGGCGGAGGATTGAAATAGCACACGCTCTTTGCCTCTCTGAGAGACAAATTAAAATCTGGTTCCAAAACCGGAGAATGAAGTGGAAAAAAGATAATAAGCTGAAAAGCATGAGTATGGCCGCAGCGGGAGGGGCCTTCCGCCCCTGAGTCTCTGAGCTCTGAGCGTTCAAAGTACTGAGCAGTATTAGCGGGAGCTGCGTAGTGTCAGTACTAAGGTGACTTTCTGAAACTCCCTTGTGTTCCTTCTGTGAAGAAGCCCTGTTCTCGTTGCCCCAATTCATCTTTTAATCATGAGCCTGTTTATTGCCATTATAGCGCCTGTATAAGTAGATCTGCTTTTCTGTTCATCTCTTTGTCCTGAATGGCTTTGTCTTGAAAAAAAAATAGATGTTTTAACTTATTTATATGAAGCAAGCTGTGTTACTTGAAGTAACTATAACAAAAAAAAAAAAGAAAAGAGAAAAAAAAACACACAAAAAGTCCCCCTTCGACCTCGTTTAGTGCCAATGTTGTGTGTTGCACTCCAGTTGTTTAACTGTGCATGTGAGTGGACGTGTTCCTGTCTCCAATAGCTCCAAGCTGTTAAAGATATTTTTATTCAAACTACCTATATTCCTTGTGTAATTAATGCTGTTGTAGAGGTGACTTGATGAGACACAACTTAACTTGTTCGACGTGTAGTGGCTAGTGACTCTGTGACGAAAACTGTGACTCCGAGCGGTGTGTCCCTGCGTGCCTTTGTAGGACCCTTTGCACGAACTCTGGAAGTGGCTCTTATAAGCGCAGCTTCAGTGATGTATGTTTTTGTGAACAAAGTTACAAATATTGTCCAAGTCTGGCTGTTTAAGCAAACTGTGATCAGCTTTTTTTTTTTTTTGTATTTGTTTTTAAGGAAAAAATACTGACTGGAAACAAACAAAAAAATAAACTTTCTATTGTAAATTCTCTGGGTCTGGTTTGTGCTGAATAGCGAGCGAGCGCCTCTTATTTCTTGTATGTCGGGTTCTGGAAGGTGCGTCTGAGGCTACCTGAGAGGCTGGCCTGTGTGTGGACACCTCAGATGAACACCCTGACCCGCGGCCTCCCTAATTCTCACCCGTCAGAAAGCTCAAGGCAAAGGTAGAAAAGCTAGAGTTTGGATTCCAAAGCTGGAATCTAATCTGCTTCCTCCCTGAGAAAACCAACTTAACTTGCTGGGCACAAAAAAACCAGGGGAGAAAGAGAAAGGAGAGACCAAGGGCTTTGTTAGCGGCCCTCAGGCTCACACAGATGCTGCCTTTCCTAAGGCCATTCTAGGCCTCCACTTGCTAAGAAGGCTGCTATGCGCAGTTGTGGCCCCCAAGCCGGCTGCCCTTTCCCCACCCCAGCACTCCTTCCCACTCCTCACACCCTGAACCAACTTGGCTTCTTTTGCTACAATTAATTTGCTACAAATGGAAGGTACTTACCCCATCCTAGTTCGATTGGGAAACTCCTCAGAGCAGCTAAAGCGCAACTAGAGATTTGCACATTTACGGACTGCTTACACTGATGCCGTCTTTCCTTTTAAAAGTTATAAAACAGTAAACTTTATAAGCCCCAGTTCCGGCTATATGACATTTGGGTGCCAAATGAATAGGGTTTTGTCTATGAATTAGATCGTAAAATCATCCATAGCACAGACAGATCGGCTCACTGGCTATAAAACGTCACGTGGGGCCATTAAAGTAAGTTTTATGGTTTTGGGGAGTTGACATCCAACATTATATACCACATAACATATAATCTCACTGACGCTGGACTCCATTTGACTCTTTTGCAGGCTACGTGTGCCTCCTGGTCATCCAAATTGTCAGTTTTAGGTCCAGAAGTGTCCAAACCACAAGTTCTCAAAAGTCTGAAAAATGGCTCCCTCTGAGTTAAGGTAAGCTGGCCTCCTGCGTGCGCTTTTGAGTTTATTTGTACTCTGAAAACTTTCTCTCTCTGTCTCTGTCTCTCTCTGTCTCTGTCTCTCTCTGTCTCTCTGTCTCTCTGTCTCTCTCTCTCTCTCTCTCTCTCTCTCTCTCTCTCTCTCTCATAACTCTAAGGTTGCCTCTGAATTCAAAGGGGAAGAGCAAAGTTTTCCTGGGCCCCAATTTGCAGCACCAGGAGTTGGACACTACAGAGGCCGCAGGGTGACGGGCGCCGGGGGTCGCGCTGCATCCCCAGGCCCAACTTTAATTGTTGCCCAAACGCGGATGTTAATGACTTCCGCTGCTCTCTTGCCCGGGTGCAAAAAAAGATGATTTTTCTTTTGCTTAAGAATGGGACTGTTGAATCGAGATTTGGCTGGACCGCACTCCCAAGTCGGGACAGGCGGGCTGGGGATCTGGGGGATCCTGGACCCCTAAGGTTGGGGGCTGGGAGCGTGTGGGGCGCCGGGTGCGCGGGCGGGCGCCGAAGGTCGCGCTGCTCTGGCTGCCGAGTGCCTGGGAGTTTGAAAGAAAGGCCTGGGCAGGGCCGAGGCGGACCGGGCGGGATTCCTCCCAGGGCTGTGGCAATACGTCTTGGCGGGCCGGGGTCATTTGGCAGCACTGCATAGAGTCGGCTGCCTTGGGGCCGCTCGCAGGCCGGCTGGGGAGCGCCCGAGGGTGGCAGGGGCCGGCCAGGCGCGGGCCGCACCTCCAGCCTGGGCCCCTGGGTTGCAAGGCCCAGCCAGGCTGGTAGCGCCCACGGGACCTTGCGGGAGTGCGGGTCTCCCTCTGGGACCGGGGACCAGTACCCCTCCCCCTGCCCTCCGGGACCAGGCCCTGAACCTTGTTCGCCAGCACTGTTTCTTTTTATTTTGGTGGGACCGTTCTCACCCGCCTGTGAGTCTGAAGCAATAAAGTTTATGGCCGGATTTAACTTTAGTCTTTGAATCCCTAGGCTCAATTGAAAGAGGTTAAACCGCTTTCTTTTCTTCCGCCTTTGCCTTTCTTCTCTCTCCCTCCTTTCCCCTTTCCTCTCCTCCTTTTGTAGAATTGAAACATCCAGAAACAGAACCCTCAAAAGGCGACTCTGACAACCCCCAGATGACTCTAAAGATGAGAGAAAGGGACTCCCCCTTGAACCTATGGACAAATTCTCTCTCTCAAACTGTGTCCTAAAGTTTGGGGGGAAATTGAGGTGTCTTCAATGCCCAACTTGAAAGTCCCCTTAGCCATTAGGTTGTTTTTCCTGACACGTCATAAAGGGTAGTTTAGGGAAGAAATTGCTGTTTGTCAGTAGGAGATTTCCGCCTTTCTTTTGTTAGCTGAGCTTTCTGTTTGATCCCAGGAAATTTACATAATCTATGATTTCCAAAATAGTCCCACATATTGCACCAATGGGTGAAATAAGGTGAAATAAATATTTTTTTCCTGGGTACAATTTCAGCTTGGCCTCAGTCTTCCCTCTCTCCCCCTCCATTCTTTTTTAGTGACAAAACCTTGGTTGGGGACCCTGTAGCCTGGCCTGGGATCTTTCTCTGGATATATTCCCAACAGAGTCCTGGCACCCCCCCCCCCCATTAAGCCATGCCCCCCAACCCAGGAATGAAATAGAAAAGCAGGAGTTTCAATCTCCAGGTACTCTTTTTTGCCTTAAATATTGAGGCAAAAACCCATTCGTAAAAAAATGTACTGAGTTCTTCAGTAAAATGTAAAGCACTTTCAAACATTGCTTTAGAATTTCAACCAACTTGAATGTGCAGAGGCCACTTACCCACCACCTAAGTCCAACAGATGGTCCCAAGGCGAACCTGGGAGGTGTTTTTGAATAATGGAGTCCATTTTTGAGCAGGGGTCAGGTGGGGGTGTGAAATTATCCTGTGCAACCTCTTCCAGAGAACTCTGAGGGCATTCAGGGGGACGTGTTGGCAACCAGGAGGGAACCAGGGTGGGAATGTGCAGGCCTGTAGGATTTCCTGTGGAATCCTTGACAGTTTTGTAGTCTTTGTTCTGACTATTCTCAGTTTTGGGTTCTTGACTGGAAAATATTGGTCTAAGGTTCTACTTTAGTGACTCATTTGGTGACCTTGTTGGGGAAATTTTTTGGTGACTAAAAGTAGCAGGAAAGAAAAGAGTGACTGGGGTGCTGGTCCCTTTCTTGTTTGGAGGAAGCCTTCCTATCACCTGTGTAGCTAAGGCCCACCCCACAGTGCTGGAAGGGCAGCAAGACAGTTGATCTGGTTGCTACTATCATACAATCTTTGCTGCATGGAGTAAACAATTCCAGGCTCTGAATATTGCCATCTTGCATGTTTTGGTCTGGTTTCTTCGTTGTAACCCAACTTCATAGTGGAAGAGGGCAGCCTAGCTCACATGAAGTTAGATGACTTTTTAAAAACATAGCCTCTGGTCAGATTTCTGTGAGCATGATCTGAGGAGTATTTTTTTCCCTTATTATTGTCAGAGGAAGCTTTGTGTAAATAGAATGACTGGTTATCTACTCATTTCATAGATAAGTTATGTTTTCTTGTACATTCTTTTGGTTCCTTTTCTCCCACCCTCACCCCCACCTTAACTTACTCAGGAAAAAAAAAAACTCTGTTGTTGAGGGCTTTATGAAGACATCCAGTCTCAGAAGAGAGAGAGAGAGAGAGGGAGAGCATACTTCCATATACACATCCTTGCTCCCTCCCCTTCTGGTAAAAGGAGAAGGTGTCTGAGATGTGCAGGGCATAGTTTGTTTCTACAAGCTTAAGAGACAATATTTCCTGAACTATAAATATAGTAGGAAGCTTCTGGTCACACTTACTTAGGGGTTTGTTAGGGTTTCCATAACCTATTTTCACAACATTATGCCATGATTACTTTTCTCTTACTCTTCCTCCCCTGTTTCGTTGTTGGGGCTCTGGGCAAACAAGTCAGAATTTCCTACCAGAACTTGAGGCACGTTAATTTGTTGGCATGTGAAGAGTATTCTACCCAAACAATTAGTGTGGAGAGAGCAAAGTACATCCTGAAAGATGGACAATTAAAGATGAAAACAGCTCTTTTAGCTTAAAAATTGCCTTTGGAGGGCCTCCCACCCCTTTGCTCTGAAGCTCTGAGTGTGTTAGGGTTTGCCTACCACAGAGAGTGCAGAACCCTGGGGCTCCATCGCTTTTGCTTCTAAGGTAGACTGGCTTTCTTGTCCATCAAGAACTATAAATGGGGATCCGAAGCTAGGCTGGGGTAGGGGCTCAGTCCAGGCTCTCACTCACATAGAAAAGGGGAGATCCAGCCTTCCTCATCCTAACCCCCTAGAAAAGCCGCCCAGGTCTATTTATATTTTATTTTAATTTTTTTTGGGGGGTGATTATTACAAATAAAGCAGTCCTGGTCCCCTCCCTGCAAAGCAGTCTTTTCAATAATAATATTTGTTATGAAGGTTATTGGGTAATTATTGCAATTTTGTGAAGCTGCCTTGGCTAGAGGTGAAGTCTGTCATCGCCTAACAAATGACGCCCGCGCAGTTCACTGCCGGGTTAAGTAAATGCAGAGAAGATAAATCTGCACACCCTAGGAATCGCCAGCAGAGCACGCTTTAGTACAAGTTCACAGTCAACTCGCCTGCCTGGGCCACATCTCCCAACAATTAGGGCTTCGTCTTTATTTTTAAATAAAGAGGGGGAGAAAAGTCTCCAAGTCCTATTGCCTGCTCCCCCTTTCCCTCTTTCCTTTCACTTTTTGTGAGACCTCACATCCCCCCTTTTTAAAAGTTGCCTCCTCATATATAATGGTGATTTCACAAT